GAGTCGGTGGCCCGCAACTCCGTGGGCCAGTCAGGGGGGGACGCAACCCCGCAACTTCAGGGGCCCGTGGGGTCCAGCGGCTGTCCGCTCGTGGGGGGGTCCGCGCCAAGGGAAGTTTACCAGGTGAGGATGGTCTGTATCTCCACAATAAATCAATCATCATTTTATATGCTATGTTTACCACCGTTTTGCTTTTTCTTATCACGCTTTCGCGCGTTTCTCGTTCCTTTCGCTTTTCTCTATTTGGTTTTCTTCTTCGTGTCATCGTACTTTCGCGTTATTTATTTTACCTCGCCGAGACGTAGACATCTTGATCTCCCTTTTCTCCTCTCCATTCGAATGCACCTTTGGCAAATTTCCTATTACGCGTCGACGGTTGTATTAATGCTATCAATATCGTACTTGGTATGCCTCTAGTGTATTCTACACGGTAGAGTATCGCTTATTTCGTCCAATCGCTAACAGCGTTTCTCGAGTAAAATCATTTCAATCGTTTCGCGAATTCTTCTTTATACGTTTGATTCGTCTTTCGATTGCTGTCGGATATATTTTAGCATCGCGTTTCTTCCGTCGATTCAATCGTTCTAAGTGGACGAGATGTGATCGCAAGATACCTCTACGGACATGCCATCTTTCCTATCCATGGGTCCTTGTTCCTCGTCGATCCTCGATTCTCGTTCTCGGCGTAGATTACGGTGATTTATCCAGGTGATCGCGTTCGTTTTCGCGCAAGCGTCCCATTCAACCTGTTGGACTTACGAAGTATCGGAAGGAGCGTAGGTAACGAGATTCGCTGAGCGTATTCTGTCGCGAGTAAAAGGTGACGGTGCGAGGAAAGATTTTTCGGTGATTCGATGCTAAAGAAGAAAGCGAAAATCGTGCTGGTTATCGGATGGTTAACGTGACAAAGGTTTGTTTGTTTCTTTGTACAGCAGGTAAACGAAAATTTGACGGGGGTCACCAGAACCAGGGGGAATCTAAGCGTCGCTTCCAGAGCAACTGGGGAAACCAACCCCTCGCTCAGCAACCACTGGGCAACGCGTACGGATTGGCGAGTGTGAACGGTGGCAGTGGTGGTGGTGGCGGCGGTGACATAGGATTCGGAGGCAGGACCGCTACGCTAGGCGGTATTTCCAGTGACGATCACGAATGGTATCAAGACTCTTACCAGTCGTGGAGCTAACTTCTGCAAGTTTGTGAGTGAACACGCACGCACGTACGTAAGCACGCACGCACGCACGCAAGCACGAACGAACGAACGAAAGAACGAATAAACGAACGACGGATAAACTATGAGGAAAGCGGTAGAAAGCAACAGAGAGTCAACCGAACTAAACTTAAAAAAAAAATATATATATATATTATAAAAAAAGGTAATATAATTGTGGAAGAAGAACGAGGAGCACGTAATAAGCGGTAAAATGGATTTACGGTAGAGAAAGATTTAAAAACGAAGGAGGATATAATCCACTTATATATATATGTATACATATATATATGTATATGTATATACTATTTATTATATCGATCTGGTAATTGTACATGTTTTCGTACGTATTCGAGCATCGGATGGACAAGCAAGTAAGAAAAAAAAAAGAAATAACGTGTAAAGCGTCGTGCGCTCGGCGTCACCACCATCGCCCGCTATTGTTGTGATTATGTATACAGTGATGTGCCACTGGGACTAATTATTACATCGGAGTGACCACCCAACAACCCACCCCGTACTACTACTATTATTATCATTATTATTATTATTGCTATTATTATTATTATTATTTTATTATTATTATTATTGCTATTATTATTATTATTTTATTATTATAATTATTATTATATTATTATTATATTATTATTATTAATAATGTTATTATACATATACGTATATGTATGCATATATATGCGCGTGTACGTCCATACATGGATGCGCGTGTTCTCCGTTCGTATACGCGGATGCAATATATTCGTTACGTGTATAAATTTTGCATGTAACGCATATGTCGTATACGCGTATAGACAGGCGTGCTTGCCACCTGTGTATGACCGTATGTGCGTGCGTGTCTATGAACGCGTGTAGACATGATTGTATGTATGTATGTACGTACGTATGTATATATATGTATGTATGTTTGTTTGTATGTTTGTGTGCATGCATGCATGCACGTATGTATGTATGCGTGTACGTATGTACGATGTATGCGAGTCAAACGATGCACAGATATGTGTACGCATACGTATGTATACGTATACGTATATTAATTTTTAAGTACTACTACATTGTCACATTGTTTACTGCCAAGTGATACGCGAAGATCAGCGACGTTGACGTTAGGATTGTGATGGCTTGTACTAATTAAGAGAAATCGGTGAAGCCTGCGATTTTATTATACCGCGGTTCAATGTTGCAAGTATACGTGTGAGAGATCGCGTATATGTGATTGTGAGAGCGTGCGCGTGTGTGAATGTTAGTGTAGGTGTACGTATGGAAAAGAAAAGAGAAAGAACTCGATGATAGGAATTAAGAGAGAGCAGTAGACGAAAGAACTCGAGTGACAAGGAATTAAGCGTAACGATGTAACGGAAGTGGTGGGACGATTGGCGATGCCGGAAAGAATGTCGGAACGAGCGAGTCAAGCGAGAACGAATGGAGGTAGAATTTTATGATAGAAGAGTCGTGACGCGTGAATGAGATCTCGCGAGTATCGATATAGTGATAAATTTGAATAATTTTTGTACGGTTGAGAAAGAGAGAAGAACGCGCGGATACGTTGTGTGCCGCGCGTGTATGCTTGCGCGTATACGTACGGACGCGTACATCCGCGTGCATCGGCATGCATCCGCGCGTGAACAATTGCGCGCGTAAACGCGGCCGTGCGCGAACGTACGATGCGATGTCGCGTATGCGTAGAGCGCGCCAAGCGCCGCTAGACCTTCTATTGTTGGTCTATAATGTGTACAGTCAGTGAAACTATTATTATTATTAAGGGTCAGACAGGTCTTACGGAAGTAGAAACTGAAAGGTTTAGGAATCAACGGTTCTACGAACATTTATCGTGTTCGGTCGGTTACGATCACGGAATAAAGCGTCGAACGGACGTACGAAACTTTAATCGAGACAAAACTGAATATTAAGAACCGCGCATACGTGTAATATTTGTTTGTTTTTTCGGTGATAGCGTTACGAGAGCGGAAATTAGTCTAAATTTAAAAAAGACGTTTGTTGTTTCGTTGTTTCTTTTGCTTCTTCGCGTTCTTTTTTTCTTTCTTATTTTTTCCTTTTCTTTGGTTATCTTTTGAAATTCGAAAACGAAACAAAGAACCGTTGAACACGAACGAATGTGAGATAAATAGAGAAAAAGCATAGCTTATATGTTTTGTTTTTCTTTTTTTTTTTTTTTTAATTTTAAAATTTTACTTTCAAAATTTTTACGTTACGTTTCGTCGCGTGATTCGCGCAGCGCTCGTGCGCGCTCGCGCAGATCTTTTTAGAAACGACTGACTACCGAAATTTGATAATGATAGTCACGGATTGATTTAGGACGCGTAAAGTGAACGCAACGTTTACGATCGCGTGAATGCATACAGCACACATTTTGAGCGTTGACTCGTTGTTATTGTTAGCCTGTTAGTTAATTAGTAAGAGTTGTAAGTGCGGGCTTATAGTTGGTCCCTGTCCCTGGAGCCCAGACACCCCGCCCCCTGTTCTGGAGAATATTCGAAAAAAGATATAAGCAAAAGCTTGATACCATTTCACACGCAACCCCCCGACTTATTACGATGAAAAGGTAGAAAGTTAAAAGTTTAACGAGAAACATTAAAATTCGTTTGTAACGAAGCGACTGCATATCACCGTATTGTTCTATCGTGTAGGATCGGAAAACGAATTAGCGCGTACGTCGGCTCCGTTTCAATATCACGTGCACACGTACATACAGAAAAAAAAAGCACGCGCGCGCGCGTACAAGTAGGCATCGGGAAAACACGGTTTCATACGGGAACGATAGAAATTTCAGTACGCGAGAAAGAAAACACGAATTCTGTCCACTGAAAGTTTTCGAGCGATCGATTTTCGCGAACGAATAGGGTTCAAGGATGATCGATCGTTTGAAAACTAATCGCATCGATGAGCATTTTGTTACATACTATTATTATTATTCGCTTTTTACTTAAACTTCATATTTCTATGCCATCGATACCGTTTTAACAGCGATAATATGATGACTGTAACGTAAAGATCAAAGGCCCCTTACTTTTACTTCCTGTCCCCAGTCATGCGGTCATTGTCTATCGGAAGGAAGCAACTCGGAGTGTGAACGGGAGAAAGAGAAGATATGGAGCATGAGAGCGAGAGAACGAGAGAGAGAGAGAGAGCGAGAGAGAAAGAGAGAGAGGTAGAGAGAAAGCGGGAGAACTTGGAGGAGGATGATGGCAAGGATGGTTGGATGGAAGGGAAGCAAAGGAATCGAAGCGAATGAGAAAAGAAAAGATAGAAAAGGAGCCAGCGGTTAGGAACGAAACAAACAGAAACTGATATATTTCCTCTGTATCGGTTGAATGTTATTACCTTTTATTCCTTTAGCCTTCTCCCATCCCCCTCTCCTATCAATCATCATTATTCACTTACCATATTTTATACCTACCTATTCTACTTACCTACACACGTCCTATTTATAAAATCATGTTATCGAGGATGTAATAATATTAATATTAACGATACGATAAGAATAATATTGCTAATTATACTGAGTGGATTTTTGTAACACGATAACGTTTCAATATAAATTCTGGTTTTCCTTCGAAATTTGTAGTAAAGGAAGATCATATACGTATATTACGAAACAGCAGGCAGGCAGGTAGGAAGCAAAGATGCAAGCGAGAAAAAAGAAAGAAAGAAAGAAAGAAAGAACGGACGGCCGAACGAACGAACGAACGAAAGCACGAACGAACGAAAGAGAAAGCTAGCAAGAAAGAGAGTAAGAAAGAAAGAACGATAGATAGCAAGAAAGAAAGGGATAAAGGGAAAAAGGAAACAAATCCAGCTTGCGGGGGCAAGGAAGCATAACCTGGCAAAAGCGGAAGCAGTTCACGGTGACGAGACTTTAGACTGATCTAGGTACTAGCGTTACGATATTGGCCCTACCCCAGCCTTAAGGTGCCCCAACGTTATATCATTTACCCTCTTTGCGCTATTTTATACTTTGACCGGTGTGCGGCAGCTGGGGTGCCTGGGGGGTTATCGGTCGCATTTAGGATAAAATGCACCACTGTGGCTGACGATGCTGTAGCCACGCGCGCCCTTTTACCCGGTCATTGACCTAATTCGCGGCACACATCCTTGGGAACTTGACTCTTTTTGGTTGGCCCGTGTCAGGCGGATGTTGTGTGATTTTTGGGTCGCTCAATTTATGTTAATAACGGCCCAAAGATGTGTTTTTTAATTATATATAAATATATTATATATTATATTCCTGCGAATATGCATTTTGTGACGTGATGTTATATAGCACTAATGAGGAAAACAAATAACGAACGATAACAAACAAACAAACAAAAAAAAAATGAACAATTGTGTACGAAAAGAAAATGACAAAAAAAATGTTAAAAAAAAAACAACAAAGTACGTAACACTATTCACACGAATATAAACGGTTTATGTTTCTCGCGCCACATGCCACACGTCAGCTCCATGGCTATAAAAAAAAGAAAAAAAAAAATTTCTTACAAATTTCTTACAAATTTCTTACGACCAAATTCTTCTATCGTTAGTAATTGCGTTTTCAGATTATTTTTTTTAATTATTCATCTTCCAATTGCTTTGCTTTTTTTTAATTCCCGCAATTTTAAAAGTTGCCCTCAATAATTTTAGTGTGACGTAGTTGAACATAATAATTATCGATGAATTTAAAAACGACGTTGAAACGGTTCCTTTTTTGGGCTAGGAGCTTGATTTAAAGTGTCAAAGATTTTTGTGTATGACCAGATGTATTCTACATGTCTCAATAAACAGTTGTATGTGAATTACCTTTCTTAAACGATGCTGTATTTATTTGCACGGTATCAGCTTTCCCGAATACCGCGCGAGTCGTCGTTACGGCTATTGATTTTTCCTTTTTCCATAATTTCCTGCTGCTCGTATCTCCTCCGACGCTATTGTACGAGTAACGATAACGTTGTAGGGGTGAAAAGATAGAAGAGAGGGAAAAGCAATATCGTCCGCGTTCTCATCTCGAAATAATTTAAAAGCGCTTTCGTTCTCTCCGCGATATCCTAATAAATCGACGAATATTTCAGATTTTTAACCATTTTATTTTTACATTTATACAATAAATACATTTTTCTTATTTTAAAAATTTTTGAAAATCGGATGTTAATTTTTATTTTGTCGAGCGTGGGATATGACGTAAGGGAGTACATAATAAAGTTCGATTACAATAACGAATATCAAGGAGTGATCGTTTCCGTGACGAGTTTAAACGATCCTGTTCGATCGTTCGTACCAGCGTCTCGTCTCGAGGCTTCTTCGATCGATGCAGAATCCCTCGTTCTCGGTCGTTTCACCCCCACTGTTGCTCTGACTGATCCGAGCGACCTCTCTTCGTTTCTCCCTTACGGTTAGGGCGTATCGGGGTAAACCAGTGTCTCCGTAGAACTGGAAAGAGTGGGTTACGGCTGCAGGGTGTTCCTCGTCGTTCGGATCGTCTCGTTCAACGTCTCTGTTGGTCTCACGAAAGTTCGCGCGTGCAACGTACATGTGCGTGCGTGCACGCGCGCACCTCGTACGCTCTAGATTTCCGTATGGCGTACGCGTAATACAGAAGTTTCGCTGGTGCATGCAGCAGATATCGGGGGCGACGTATCGCGTCGACATAGTTCTCGTAACACGATTTCAAGGAGTCGATAACGAGTTAACGAAAGGTGTGCGTTACGCGTGACACGCGTCGAAAAGATCACGAAATTGCTGGATTCTGCGTTTCGTCACCGTGTTTATTGTTTACGGAGCGACCATCGTTCTGACGACTCGCATTTCGCGATTTGCGGAACGCGCGAGCTCGAGGAGATCACGATCTAGCGCGGCGTGAAGTGCGCGCGCTTTGCATTCGATGAGAAAGGACGCTCGTGCACCGGAGGAAAACGTTCGAGAACCTGGTGGTGGTGGTGGTGGTGGTCGGTCGACGGTCGACCGACGACGACATCGTCGTATCTTTTCCTTCAACGTTTCAATTCGTGCGAACGTTGAATAAGATCCGAAGCTTAAACTCGGTGATTTACCGAGGTACGAATTCGCGTTGCTGTTCGATCACGTAAGTATACGTTTCATATCCTTGTATGTTTATCGAGGAAAACGAACCAGTACGATTGAAACAGTCCGTTTATCTTTTTACGGAAGGACGACGATTCGTCGATAATCGTTTACTTTTTTCTGTTCCGATTCGCGGAATTTTTCTCGCAACTGTACGGAGTATATTTGTACGAAGAAAAATTGATTTCAAAATCGCGCGTTACTTTGTAAAGTTTGAACGATACAAATACGGCGAATCGAATAATCCTGTTTGTCGATTTCATCTGAATAAAGTAGACAGTAAAGGGCGCGGTTTCGATTCTGTCAGCCTAGTTCTTTCGTTTATCTGGCGAACTTCATGACTTCTTCGTATCAATGAGCGCGTCCGATATTCCTGGGCAAAACTCGAAAAGAGCGCGTTTGAAAGGGGGATACGTGATTTTGAGGGCGTGGCAAATAATGACAAATAAACTCGACACGTGCTAGGGATACTTCCTCGAAGCAACGTCATTTCGATCATCTGGAATCGTGTTTGTATACGATACGTATTACTTGCAATGATTTGTCCTTGCGTAATTTACCTTTTGATTCGATGCGACATACGTTTGGTTAGTTTATAGAGGACAGGAAGGATCGATTCGCCGATACGGCGCGACGCGACACGATGCGATGCGTTAGCACTTGCACCCATGCTTCGTACTGTCCATAGATTACGTTTATCGATCCATCATCTCGAATTGGGTCGATAAAATAGATGCTGTGTGTTCGACGCGATCGGTATTGTATCTAACGAGCGAAACATGTGTGATTACAGATGATGTTTGGGAGTAACTTTTCATATTCTTCCTATACGTGGAATAAAGATTGACGATATGGTAAACTCGTCGTTAGCTATTATCAATAACGTATATCTCTCGATTCGAAGGAAGGAGTTAAAAAAAGCACTAAATTCGATTTCGTACCTCTAGGATGCACTATGGCTTCGGTACTCTGGCATGCTTCTTGGAACAATTTCGTTTCTCCCGCTTTTATCTTGTTCTTGCTACTTTGTCCGCGTAGCAGTACAGGTTAGTTACACAGCGTTCGAAGAAGCGAGACGTTCCTGGATAAAAAGAAAAATGTTTATGCCCGTACAATTCCACAGAATGCGATCAAAAGTTTATAAGCACGCCGGATGGTCCGCTGGAAGGAACTTTTTATGCTCCGTCGTTAATTAACCCGGAAAGGGAATCTCGACAATGCGTGTACACGTTTTTCGCCGGACCGCGGCAACGGGTAGAGTTGGTTTTCAATACGTTCGGTCTTCGAGGAACTCCGCCACAGTAAGTTGTTTCTCATCGACGACGTACGTTCTTTATTTATCCACTTATTCGACTTGCGTTTGATAGCGGCGCCGCCGTTGGAGAAATACCTGCGTAAGTGTCAGTCGATCCTGTATCGCGTCATTTGGCCACGAGTCATCATGAAAATCTTTCGTTTGCAGCTGCGTCCACGAATACGTTGACTTGTACACCGAAATAAGATCGGAGAACGTGACCAAGTTAGTGGATACGCCTTTCGGTGGACGTTTCTGCGGTCCGATACCACCTCGCAGGCGGGTTTCCCTTTACCAGGGAATCGCCATTAGTTTCTACACCGATAAAAATATCACGTTACCCAGCCTCTTTAGCGGTACTTACGCGTTTGTCAATGCATGTACGTTTACTCTTCATCTCCTTCTTCTTCTGTTTCTTTTACTCTTGATTTTTAAGTTAATTTTTTGTTTTTCTTTTTATTTATTTTTGTTCTTTCTTTTTTAGTTATCATCGTTACCGTTATGCGTTCGAGTTTTCCGCGATGGCGCGTATTCGAACCATACGGTACAAAGTTTGAAAACGTTGACGAAAAACTGTTCGACGATAATCGACGACGTTATTTGCAGCGGAATACGAGGTGGGAACGCCAGCTCCTAGCACGCCGTGTTCTTTTACGGTGAATTCGGAGCACAAACGTAGCGGCAACATATTATCTCCTACGTATCCGGGCACTTATCCAAAAGGTCTGACGTGTAGCTACAAGTTTATCGGGAAACATAGCCAACGAGTACGCTTGGAATTTCGAGACTTTGATTTGTACTTTGGAGGTCCGCAGTACGTATACGTGAATCACTGTCAACGTAGTGGTATGCCTTTATGCGGCACTTGAAAGGAAAAGCGTTCGCGCCTTTCCAGCTCTATCGAGACGTTTTTTGATCGTGCTCTCGTTTTATAGTTGTCCGTTGGACTACGTTAAAGTTTACGATGGTTTGGACAATACGTCTGCCGTTATTGGAACATATTGTGGACAGCAACGAAACTTGGTGTTGTATTCGTCCGAATCTAGTCTATTCGTACTGTTCGAAACTCTTGAACGTACAGCAAACACGCAAAATCGGGGGTTCAAGGGAATCTTCGAATTCTCCGAAAGTTTTGTTAAGTTAGGTAAGTTTGAAACATTAAAAATTCAAACTGAACTAGTTTTTCTACTTCCCGCGCACTCGCATACGCTAGATTGTTTAATTTGCACTTCGTACACGAGTGCTGTTCTGTTCGCGTCGTATGCGTATGCGCGTGCATTTGCATGCATATATCTACGTACGTATATCTGTACGTGTACGTGTACGTGTGCGTGTACACGCTCGTCTCTGTCTACTCAGACTTCATAACCGCTTACAAGGGTGAGCATATTCGAGGATCGGAATGCGATCAGAAGATCTTGAGTAAAAAGGAGTCCTCTGGTCATGTCGTTAGTCCAAATTACCCGTATCCGTACATACCGAAGGTGGTATGTCGGTATTTCATATATGGAATGCAAGACTCGCAACATCTGGAACGCGTTCGATTAGTGTTCACGACATTTCAGATACCAAGAAATACGACAACAGGAGAGTAAGTGCAATTACATTATTCTACGTCTATGTTTTACTTCGTCTTCGATACAATTTTCTCTTTGTTCCCTGATTTAGTTCGTCGTGCACCGATGGCTACTTAAAGTTGTATCTGAAAGGACAAGAAGCCACCGATTCTTACGATAAATTCGATCACGAATTATGCGGTTTAAAGAGCAATCCGAGCCACGTAGTTAGCGATGGTCCGAGACTGGTAATGGTATTTAGTAGCGGAGAATCACAAGGGCAAGGTTTTAAAGCAAAGTAAGGAAATAATATTCTCGATCGTACAATACCTGTACAATGCAGATTTATACATGTGTATGTATATAATTTACAGCTACACTTTTGAAACGGAATATAAGATACCGGGTACAGCAGCTCCTGATGGAAGCTGTACGTTCACGTACCGCAGTTCCTCGCGCAAGAAGGGAGAATTTAATTCTCCGCGACATCCCAGCAATTATCCCAGTGACACGAATTGTACTTATTTTTTTTTAGCGACTCCGAACGAACAAGTTACCTTGATATTCGATTATTTTAAAGTCAGAACGAAAAACACGAATGTCACTGTTGGTCACTATGGGTAAGTTTAATGATACACTGAATGCCTATTGTTGGCAAAAAACAGCAAGAACGAAAACATCAATCTGTTCTTTTGTGTCATTAGGCTAAATGTTTGTCAAGACGATTGGCTAGAAATCTACAATATGTATCGAGACGATACGGAAAAATTGATAGGTAGATATTGTGGTAGCACGGCTCCGGGACCCGTAGAATCAAATCTCGGTGCGCTCGGTTTAAAAGTAATCCTTCATTCGGATTTCGAACTAGTTTCTAGCGGCTTCAAAGCGCGCTACACGTTCGAAGTGGCCAAACCCATTTTTGGAGGTATTTCTTTACACTCTCCTTAAGTTCTCAGATGCATGTATTTATAATCGTTTATGTTACAGATTGTGGATCGAATATAAGTAGCGTGAATTACGGCATAATCGCCAGTCCAAATTTTCCGAACAAATACGACGGACCCGCGAGAAATTTTGCTAGCAAAACTTGTAATTGGTTTATAAGAGTTCGGCCCAACCACCAGATACTGTTAAACTTTGAATTATTTTCCGTAGAAGGTGATCAGTCAGGTACGTCGCATCTTTGATCCCTTTATTCCTTATTTAATTATAAGCATCAACCCGTTAAATGATGGCGATTATTTGTGTTTAGTTCGCGGTTGTCCAGCTGCAGTACTACGCATGTGGTATTCTTCGTTGTTAACGCCGATCGAACTGTGTGGCGTAAAAACGCCGGACGTTAAATGGACGTATTTGTCCGAGGATAATAACATGCGGCTTAGGTTTGTTCGTTCACGATTCTTCGTACGATTCTCTCGACGTAACTCCTCGAGTCTACGTCGTGTCTATGCCGATAGCAACCTCAATTCTTTCTCTTTCTTCTGTTGTCCTTTTCAGCTTTATTTTGGCCGACAAGGCGGTAGGACAACAAGGCTTCAGAGCAACATGGACCGAAGTCAGCATGAACACCAGCTGCCAGGATCAGTTTTTGTGCAGCAAAAGTAAATACTGCATCGCCGATTCGCTTCGGTGTAATAACATTTATAATTGTGGCCCGGCTGATACTTCGGACGAGGAAAACTGTAAGTTTCGCAATCGTTAGAAAACATCGAGAAAACAACTCCTTATAAGCTGTGGTCGGTTTCTTCTTTTACCTTGCTTCTACGATCGATACACCTCTGTATACATATACATAGGTAGATAGATACATATACTTTCTCCGTTGCAAACTATACACACCGATCCAATGTCGAGTATGTAATTCTTTCGAATCGTTCAATAGATATTATTATTCTACAAGTTTTTCGAACGTGTTCTCTTTTTATATTATAAAACCTTAAATTAATCCTTTTCGCGTGTGTGTATGTGTATATATACATGTGTGTATATATACATATCATTTTAGTTGTTTGTCCATTGTACTTATGTATATACGTGCAATTGGGACGTTCAATGATAATCGTGGAAGTACGGATGTCGAAGTGCAAAAGTTTCCTGGGTTCAAGATCGCGCACCTTATTTTCTACGAACTTTATTGTATACAAAGCGTTAGACCATATATTGTACGGTTCAAAAATTTCAAACTTTTCGTCCTATGTGTACATATATTTTTTTCTATATTTGTATACTTATGTATGTATATATACGCATCCATATACGCGAGTGTGTATGTATGTATGCATGTACGACACATACACGCACGTGTGCGCGCGTCACACACGTACACGTAGCACGCAGAATCAGAACGATACTTGCATCGCGTGACAGAAATACACGCGAATGGTACGAATTCTTAACGGGTGCTGATAATACTGAGGAGCGTAATTTTCCGAGAGATGACAAAATAACTTTTATTTGTCTTTTCTATTCTATCTTCCGCTTGTATCATATCGCGAAAATAAAAGAACTAGTATCATTACTATACGATGTACTTGCATACGGTCACTAAAAAACTGCCAAAGAATGTTCGCCCAATAATTCAAATCATTTCATGTCGTACGAAAACATGTGCGTTTAATCATCATCGAGATGCTCGGGTATAATCCTTTCGATTCGGTTCGATTCAAGTAATGCCGATGCACCGACTTTTGCAACACGTTTCATAAAATAAACGGAAAATAGGGTAGGGGACCAGATGTCTGATATCGAAAAATAAATCGAAAGTAAAACATTGTATGATAGTACTCGAGGACAAGTATGTATAAAATTGTAATATTTTGGGTAAGTAGCACGTAGTTGTGTATGTACAGGTGAGAGAATGAAGGGATTGAGTGGGTGAATGACCGTGTGTGGTGTCGCAGGTGCAGCATCAGCCCCATTGTCGCCAGCACTGGCTGGAGTCTCTGCCATGCTTCTTCTCTCTCTGTGCTTTGTGTTCGTGGCCATCTGAGCCCTTCATGAAGCTTCCGACGATCCGGCATGTTATGATCTTCCCTATCACGTGAGTTCACTCACAGTATTGCACACGTACCGTCTTTTCATTTCTTTTTATTTTTTTTCGATTCTATTAATATCATTTATACGTTTAACACGAAACCAGTCCTTAATACTGTTTAAACGAAAGCGGAAAGAATGCGATTTCGAAGAATTGAAACTTTGCAATTGGACCAATATTAAGGGCAACCACCGTTTCGTTTATTCCCAAGTTCCATAATTGGATCTCGAATGTCTACAGATTTACGAATACTTTCTGCTTTTCTTTTACGCATAGTTTACGGAAAAACGCATGATTAAGATGAATGCAAACTTCTCCGTGTCTAGTAGCATGTACATTTCTTTTCTCTGTATTTCCACCTTTACCTGTATTTCCGTCTCTTTCTATCTCTGTCTCTATCTCTGTAACTATTTCCCATTATCTTTAGACGCGAACATGGACGGGTTATCTTTTACGAATAACTTTTTTTTCTAGCTTCTTTTTCCTTCCTTTCAAAGATCACCGGTCACTAGGGCCGCGCGAAAAATGGCGCTAGTCGCGTTCTTTTTCGAACGTATTTGTAAATTACGTGTAAATATACAGTGAACTGACGAAATACTTTGATCGTTTCAAACGAATAAATATGAACATTGAAATGTTACAAATATGTGATAAACATACACATAGATGTACGGTCAAACACGTTTAACAGAGAACACTCGTGTTACAGGTGATACGGTTGTACAGGCGGATAATTATGCTGTTCCTGCGAGTTACGCCGTTGGTACGGTGTTGGTAGTATTGATCGTTTGCCTGTTTTATCATCGAAAGCTAAAAAGACGAGTTCAAGCAGTGCATCTCGATCAGCTACGACAGCGTATGGATGAAAAGAATCGATGTTATCACGATGAAAATTTACTTCAGCATCACCACCACTACCACCACCACCACCATAATCATCAGTATCATAGTTACTATCATCATCATAATCATAATCATGATCAACAGCAACTACAGCAACAGCGTTATCAGGACTCGACCAATGATTTTGATTCAAGATTTCAACTAGAATCGTCGATTAGTCCTGCGAGCGAGAGCGAAGCCGAAGAGGCTAGCAGTCTCAACAGCGTGTGACATCGTGCTATTTTACTCGAACTATGATCAACGACCGGTGCTTTCTTCCGTTCGTGTTCCATGAACGTTGAACGCGTAGTAACATCGATATCCTTCGATTTTGTTGTCAGACGCTCAACAAAGTTTCTTTCAATTTTTATTGTATCGAAGCGTTGGTATACTTTCACTCATTTCGACTTAGGACGAAAAACAAATTTATCCTTGTGGTTTATAGAGAAACGTGTGTTCCGATAATAAAAAGTGTACGGACTTTATTAAACGATTCGTACGTGATCGAATGTACGAAAAAGACTTGTCTACTTGTAAAACGTACGTTAAACTTAAGCTACATCCTATCCAGATCCCAACGTTTTCAACGAAGTTGTACGAACTTGTTCCGCAAATACGCAACATTTACATTTCGAGAAATTTGTTTCTTCGAAAGAACGCGAAATATATTTTTAAGCTAGTCATCTTGATTCGTTGTTGTTGTTCTTGTTCTTCGTTTTCATAAACTTGATCTGTTGATAGTAAAATAACGGTAGTAAAATTCGAGACATTTTTTTCAAGCTTCTCTTTTATTTTACCGACAAAATATTCGATTTCATGGAAAATACAAATCGTAAAAATACAATCATAAAAGAATACGGGTCGTTGCATTTTTAAAGCAAACGTTCAATCATAAAAACTCCCTCTTTTTAATTCTTCCATAATTTGACACTATACAAAATTGTGTGTTACGCTCAATGTCTCATATTTTCTTTTACATGTAGCGTCATACTAGTCATCTGTTATGGTTCCGTTGTGCTAAAGTGCGTCACGTTACTTTGCAAGCACAGATAAAAAAACGCAAGGCCTCTTACAAAAGATGTATAGAAAACGATAAATCATACTTATATACACCGGTTTACAAATCTACAAACATATGGAAGAAATCGTGCTCGTAATTAATGACGTTCCTCACGAAAGTGTTAATCGATAGTTTTCTTTTACGCCGATCGTTTGTCGGTACCGTTCATCTACTATGATGCGCAAAGAAACAGTTTACGATAAAATGAAACGTACGATAGTTTGAACGAGTTACATTGCTATAAATGCTCGACGGATACTTCTACCCGTTACCACAAACGCGTTTAACATTAAATGTCTGTACGTGTGCGCATTTTGCTTCTTTGGATCAAAGGACCTACGCGGTGTTTCGAAGGAAACAACTCGTCAGCAAAAATGAGAGGAATGATTATGTGATGCTATAAGAAAAATAATGCTTTTTGTCAAAAATGGAGAGTACAATTTCACTGGCACGCACAAAAAGTCTCGTACAGTTCTCGTACGCGTTAACTAAATCGGGGAGCAGCTTAGGCCTTTTATGGGCGAGTTCATACTAAACCCTTGAACATTGAAGAACGATACCTATCGTGTAACTAATTGGTCTTCTTCGAAGATAAAAAGTGGATACAGAGGAAAGAAAAAAAGGAGCGAGGAAGACTCGCAAGTATAATTATACTTGCACGTATTGCTCGTCGTCGGTATCCCCGTTATCGATCAGGTCCATAGAATGATCCTGGTATATCCTTTCGTAATCGGCGTTGGATAACTGCTTCCTCACTTTTTCGTATCCGTCTAGATGTTCGGTTTTATACGAGTTCACTTGCTCGTAGGGTGGTTCTTCGTTGGTACGAGCAACGCTCATATATTTAACGCTCTCGTAATTCGGGTCTCCGTGATTGACAGATTCGTAATTAGGATCCGTGTCGCTGTCGCCCGGTCGGCAAACCGACGCGTAATTAGGTTCACCCGAATCGTGCGGCATACTCTCGTAATTTGGTTCCGAATCCGTGTCTTGATCCACGTCGATTCTTCTTTTTCTCAGTCTAACCTTTTCGTATCCAGGATCTTCGCTGCTAGCGTTGCTCGCTTGCCTCGGTTGTTTGAACGGTACGGTGTAAGCTGTTGGCAGATCTGTGCCGTTTCGTACGCCTATCGCAGCCGAACTACCGCTCTGATGATAATCCACGCTCTTCGCAGAATATTCCTGCGAGCGTAGTGTTTCGTAATTGGGATCACGGGGCTCGCGAATCGTCGTTGGATTAGTCTTCAGTAAATCTATGGCAACTGCTTCGTAACCATGATCGATTCCATAAGATTTTATATCCGCGATATCGCTACTCCTAGGCGACTTCAAAAGGACAACCTCCGAATGAAAACTGCTAATAGAATTGTTTGAAGTGGCGGAATAATGGGCGGAATCAGACTCTTTCTTTTGTACCTCGATAGAATCGTGACTAGACGATGAAATTCTGTTTATTTCAACCAGACTGGGCTTTCTGAACGTCCCAGCAGGAGCGACGATTTCCGAAGGCAGTAGAATACTGTGAGGACAGGCATGCTCACTCTGCTGTTCTTCCGCGTCTTTTTTCTTCTTCATCACCTTCGCGTACATATCCTCCAACGATTTTTCGTTCGACAGCGTCGATTTCAGTCGGTCCTCGTTCTTCGTTCTTTTCTCGATCGATGCATACGTTTCCATCGTGCCTTCCGAAGGTGGAGGCGGCGGTAGCGGAGAGTTAGCCTGGCGTTTCTCCGGTTTTGGTGATGCAGGGTTTACGATAGAACTGTTGGCACTCGAGGACGACGCTGTAGTCAATACGAGAAACCATGAACAAGGGAAGACAACAAGCTGAAAAGTTATAGACGATTAATCATGGTTTACCTTGTCTAGAATGGGCGTGCGCAACGTGTCGCAAACTGTCGACGCTCGGAGGTTGTGGAGCAGAATAAGTTTCCTCAGTACGTGACGGAGCTCGTGAAAATAACGTTTGCTCGTTTTGCGTTACTCGTTGAACCTCTGTCATGGTTGGTTGTATTTGAGCGTACGTTTCGCTGCCACTAGTATATATCTTGTCTTGTTCGTCGATCGCGGCATACATTTCATCTATCAAACATACAGTATTTTCTATGAGCTATCAATGATAAGCATTAGATAACAGTTAGCATATCGTGAATACCAGAGTCATCCGACACCGTCGCGTAGTGAGGGTCCGTAAGAGGTCTGATAGACTGATTTTGCCGACAAATTGTCTTCGTTTGCGCTATGATGTTAGCTAAAGGTTCTCTTACGCTTATACTGGTGTATCCTTCTGCAAAAAAAATGATTGTTTAAACAATGATTCATTACGTTACGTAAGACAAATTTACGCAAAACTTATTAACTCGAGTCTTGGGAGTCTCCACTGAAGTGTTGTTGCGGACTATTGGAACGGGGTTGAGACGACTGAGGAAGTAACATCGAAAGTGGTGGCGTCATGTACGGTAAATCTTGATTAGCTTGTACTCCACCTGATATGGCATTAGCCGCTTGAATGTCATAAGTAGCGGTTTCATTGGTTAAAAGCGAATTGTGCGAGGACGATCGACGAGTTCGCGGAGGAGCAACCGGGTTTCCATTTCCAACCTGGCACGTTGAGGTGGATGGTTGCTCGGCATCGATCGGTATTTGTTTCACATTGTTTCTGCAAAATTATTATCGATTTTAATAACAAGGGAATTTCATTTTACTGATTGTTCTCCTTGCTACTACGGTTACCTATTCGATTGATTAACTTCAGTCTTTTGAACGTTTTGAAGTTGAGCGTATGGATGTTCGACTGAAACAAAGATCAAAGTTTTCGAATAAGTAAAATGAATCGATAATAAAAAATAAGAGAGCAACTTTTTGCGTTCTTACCAGTATCAGAATTCGGGGACGTAAATCTTGAATACTGGTCTGTCGAGTTTTCTTGAATCAAAGGCCTTTGATGTGAAATTTCTTGTATTTCCTCTTTCGATATCCTTTCCTTTGCCGCTATATTGAACAAAGTTAATTCTAAATCATCAAAGTAAATGCTGTAAATCATCTTTGATGTTATGTTAATACCTGTATCCCGAACCGTGGCATACAGCTCCGATTGATCTCCGATAGTTTCAGTGGTTTCATAAATACTTTGGGATACAGATGCATCTGTATTTTCGACTTTCTTTTCCCTGTCTTTTGGAATATCCGGAAGACTTCTATTGGCACTGGTTGATCTAAACATAGAACATAAAAGTTATTCTAAATACACACAGATATACATACATAAGGTATATGTGCTATAAACTGCATGCATTAAAGCAACAATGCAGTTGAACTCTTCAAATAGCAGTTAATATCACCATGACACAATGCTCTTTAATGAAGTTGCTGCATCAAGCTTTTAGCACAAACCTTTTCCCGCTTTCAACAGCATCTTGTGTTGTTACTTGAGTGGCATTTGTTACTGGAACTCTGTTAAAGCCATCATTGTCAGAATCGTTTATAGTTACCGATCCAGCAAGGCCAAGAAATTCATTCCTATTTAAAGGAATCACAATTGAACATATCCTTGTAAATAGTAAAATCAACTACCATACTACTATAATCATGATTATAATTGCATGCTTAATTACTTATTCTCATTACGGCGACAGCTGCAAATACAAGCAACGACGAGACCAAGAAATGATAACAATGCTCCAACAGAGACGACCCAGTAACACCAGGTACTTTCCTCGATGAGAGGCCGTATCATGTTATAGACTGTATTTTTAAAATTCTATAACACACAATCTTTATGAAATCTGTGTATAACATACAATTAATTATTTAATAACTACAATAATTACCTTCTGATCAAGTCATCGTAGAAGAATCTGTACGTCTTTCTCTTAACATTTTGTTAGTAAGATTAATTTGCCACAACGAAACAAACGTTTCACAGTCTTTACCCTTATGATTAAAAATGGGTAAAAATTTCTTAAAACGTAACTTTATTCCTTCAGATTTTTTTTTTTATTTAATTTATGTGTTCCCCTTTTTCCCTGTCTTTCCTTCTCTTTTTTACTCTCGTGTGTAAATTCTGTATACTCATACCTTACATTTTATACCATTATGTTATAAAATACGAGTTTCCAGGCATTCAGTACATAAAACACATAATATTTGAAACGATCGAGCATTGATCAAATCGTCAAAAGTAACCCGAAACATTTTGTGCAGTTTAGTTTGCAATAATATTTACGCACACTTTTTAATTTGCATACACTCAGAATATTTCACGATTATTTTCTCGTTCATATAATTTCAGGAAAATGAGTATCATGGGAGAAGCTGTCAAAAGTTGGAGGTTCGTTTCAGAGATACACGCCAGATGAAGATTAAATTTAATATTCCGTACAAAATTACGATTTCATAGTAAAAAATAAAATTGCTTTTAATCCTAGACGTTTACAAGTAGGTTGCTATGTATCGATACACCGATATGTCATATAAATATACACTCGTGACATATCACGATCACGAAATAAGGTTACGTTATGTCAATGCATACAGTGTGTACTCGGCTACATAGCGTAGCCCACGTACTTACACATTTATAAACTCGCGCAGTACGTGCGACTGGGAGTTATCGATTGTTACGACTCAATAATCGATACAAAGTTGCCATGGTTGAAAATGTATATACATATATCCCCTTTCGAAAAACGCGCTTGTCAGAATAAAATGAAATAATCGAATAATGTCTCGTCGTAGATACGACATATGCATACGTGCATACATATAAGTCTAACACGTGGTCGTGACTTAACTTTAATATTCGGTCTCAGGAAGAACTGACACAAAATGGTAACTGCATGAAAATAGTATAACGTACAATATTATTTATTAATCATAATCTGTCTGTCTTTCAATATATTTATTTACTTATTAACTACTTATTCGTAAAAAAGAAAGGATTGCGGGTAAAAAATTGAATAAACTGATCGCTGTAAATATATAACAAAAGATATTCACAGTGGAAGAATATCTTGTACCAGCGACAGTTAGTTTGATTTGAGCGCTTTATAAAGATCATGACGATCGTAATAGAGTACAAAATGTGCACGCCCAACGCAGTGACGCAACGATGCAACACGAGCCGCCTTCTAGCGGAACGAATGGAAGATAGTCGGCTATGAGGTATGAGGTACGACGAATGTTCACATATAAAGAAACCGACGAGTTACCTGTCGCACTTCGTATCCGTGGGACAGGCAATGTACATAGGTAAAGACGGAGTATCGCAATATCCGTAAAACTGTTGCGCTTGCAATTGCGACTGAGATTGCGGTTGCGGGTGCGAATGCGATTGCGAAGCGGGCAAAAGGGTATGCACGAGGTGTATTGGTGGTTGTAAGTAAGGCATCATTTGGACGGGCGCGGGCGTGGCCGGAACTATCGTGCCGTTTCCGCGATCTAACGTCGATCCATTATAAGATCCGACGTAGATATCATGATTAATCTTGCCAGAGTAGGTGCTGGCCGGTCTGATCATCGAGGCATCCGGAATGCTGCTGGTGGCGAGGGCGGCTAAACGGGCTTGCTCGATTCGGCCGGACCACCTGACGCGACAGACGCATATAACGAGCACGATCAGAGCTATGAACGCGACTACTCCACCGACGATACCGATGATGAGCGTGTCGTCGGTCCCTGAGGCGTTGGCCGTCGGTGACGAGACGAGCACGCGGTCGTCGTTGTAGTGCTTACGGTCCGGATTTCGCAGCTTCGGCGCTACCGTCCAAATGATATCAGGTTCCGGCAGCGTCGATCTGCTCGAAGGATGACCCACGGCGGAGAGAGTGGTCTCCGCGTTATCGGTGGTCGTTGCTCGATCAACGTCGACCGAGGTAACACCGTTAGTACAAGACAATCGATCTTCCGTCAGGTTGGTCAGAACCATTCCACGGAGGTGAACCGGAGTAAAACAAAGGACGTTCAACGCGTGGGTATTTCCTGCGTGGGTCGTTCTCAGCCACTTCCACAGTTGCCTGATGTTGCAATCGCAATTAATCGGATTGCGCTGAAGGCCGTTGATCTTGACGAAACCGGTTCGTTCGTCGAGTGCGGCGAGAAATTGAGAGGACAGGCTGGTGAATTTACTGCCAGAAACGTCTAACTCCAGATGGGTAGAACGCGGCACCGGGAAGAATAAAGAGGCGGGTATGGAGTCGACGGAGGTGTTGACGAGGCCGAGGAAGAAGGTGGGTCCTCGAACGCCGACCAACGAGCTGGACAGCACATTTTTCAGTCTTTCGCCTCGGAGGGTTAATTTCGTTAGCCGCGGATGCGCTCGTATCGACAGCTGCTCGTTGCTTACCGTCGAGTCTTTCACCTCGACGTCTAACGTCTCTAAGCGGTTCATTCCTTTGAGGATCCCCTGTAGGTCGAAGTAACCCAGTTTAGGGTAGTTGTACGCCGACAGGGATCGCAGTTTAGTCAACGGTTTGAAAGCGTTCTTCTCGATTCTGGTGCAGTCAGGTAGATCGGACAGGTTGAGGAAACGCAACGCGGTTAAGCCCTCGAAGCTGGTTTCGTTGACGATCTTCGCCTCGTTCCCGGACACGTCCAACCAACGCAGTACCGGTAGCGTTTTCAGTGTACCGATTGCATGGTTCAGGTCTGGGAACTTGTTCCTCGACAGGTCCAAAGTCTGGAGCATAGTGGTGCGTTCGAGAGCGTCGCGCGGAACATCAGTCAGATCGTTGCCGGAAAGATCGAGTCGCTCGAGGAAAGGTGTTTCTAATCTGACCAGACGCTTGACGGCGGTGTTCGCGAGATTCAGAGATCGCAGTATCTTGGCCTCTCCCAGGATTCGATCGATCGCGTTCTCGCTCAGAGGATTGTCCGAAAGATCAAGGTGTTTCAGATTGCTGGGTACATCTTGGTCAAATAGTTGAACCATCTTGTTACGAGCGAGGTTCAAGCTGGATAAGGAACCAGACTGCTTCCGTAAGGATAATATCGGGATCTGGTTGATCCGGTTTCCGGATAGATCGATGCTCTCGACTACGCGGACCCTGGTCGGATCGAAGATCGTATCCGGTAGGGAAGTTAATCGATTGTTTCGAAGGTCGAAGTGTTCGAGACGAAGCAGGCCTTCAAGCGTCCTTTCGCTCAGGGCTTCGATACTGTTCGCGGATAGATCGAGCAATTGGAGTTGCGTTGAATTGTGGAAAGCTAGATCGTCGACCGATTCGATTCGGTTCGAGGCTAAATTCAGAACTCGCAGGCGACCGAGTCGGGCAAATGCAAACTCGTCGACTCGACTCAATGCATTCTCGGATAAATCGAGCATCTCCAAGAATTGTAGGGGTTTTAAGTAATCGGTCGGAAAGCGAATGAATCGATTGCCGGACAGATCAAGCTCCCTTAGCCTGGGATGAATCGCGAAAGCCGTCGGGGATAATCTATCTATTCGATTATTGGACAGATCGAGAATTTCGAGTCCCGTGCCGGTGTCGAAGTATTCCCCGGCGAACGAGGTCAATCCGTTCCCCCGCAGATATAACTCGTATAGACCGATTAACCCAACGAAAGCTCCGTTCTCGATGTGTTCTATTCGATTGTCGGATAGGTCGATCCTCGACAAGTTTTGTAGATCGCTGAACGTGGCTTGATCGATCATTTCCAACCGATTGCCGGCGACCGATATTCTCTCGATGGATTCGAGGTTCCGAAACAGGATCGCTGGCAAAATGCTGAGACCAGTCCTCGATACGTCGAGGGTCAACAACGAGGAAGGAAAGACTGGTGGGAATCCTCCGTACAACGGATTCGAGCTCAAATTCAAAAACTCGAGCGATCGCAGTTGCGCGAAGGTTTCTGGCGGGATTCGCGTCAGTCTGTTACCAGCCAAATCGAGAGAGACGAGCTTCCTCGTTGAAAGTTCGTCGATCGACGTTAACCCGTTGAACGAAACGTCCAAGCTGAGCAACGTGTCCTCCAGCCCGGAGAACGTGTCGACGGAGATGCTCGACAGCATGTTTCCGGATAACTCGATGCCGATCAGATTTTCGAAATCTCGAAACAATCCGGCAGGTATTTCTCGCATCAGGTTTCGAGTGAGCGCTAACCTAACTAGACTGCGGGACGTCGATTTGATCAGATCGGTGGATAACGCAGCTACGCGATTGTACTCCATGTGAAGATGAGTCAGCGAAGGTAGTCTCGCCAAGGCGGTCCCCGGTACCAGCAGAATATTGTTGTCTCGTAAGGAAAGCCATTTTAGCTCGTTCAAACCGTCGAACGACGATTCTTCAACCTGCAACGATCAATGATAGTACCGATAATCCTTTAGCGATATTTGATTGTCTCCTCACCGTACGCAGAACATTCAGGCTTAGATCAAGCTTGTTCAGTCTAGACAAACTGGAGAAGGTATTTGCCCCGAGACGACCGATGTTGTTTCGACTGAGATCCAATACCTGCAACTCCGTCAATGATTCCAACTGGGTGCGTTGTATCTCCTGAAAGACAGATCGATGAGCAACCGATCAAAGGTTCAGACAGACGACCCGTTACTTACGCTAATCAAATTGTTGGAGACGTTGAGGAACTTCAAGTCCGTCAAATGCCTCAACGCATCACCGGGAAACTCTTGAAGGAAGTTTGCTGACAGGTCCAACTGCAGTAAATTGTAGGCACCTGCGGGTAACTTTGCGTTAATTTGTTCATCTTTTTTCATCTTTTCTCTCTAAATACCTTTGAAGACGTCGCTATTGAAACGTCCAAGATCGTTGTGGGATATGTTTAAAAGTAGCAGTTGTTCCAGTCCGGATAGAGCGTCGTCCTCCATGTGAGACAATTCGTTATCGCTCAAATCCAATCGCAACAACGACGCACCGACCATCGAAAAAGCAGCTCGGGGCAGCGAAGCTGTGAAACCAGAGTAACATTCAGAAAAGTCTTTGAGATACGCGTTCGCGACGCTTTCTCGAGCGATCGTAATGCGTTGAAAAAGCACGAGAACGTGACGAAGCGTTTGGAAGAAAGCTGGAACGCTGAGTTCGAATCGAACGCGAAATCTGCTCGTTACGCGAAAGGAAAATCAAGTACGGACATGTTATGAGTTTCGCGTGTCATCCAACGTAGCCTAGGCGACCGTCTTACACTTTTCCTTTCCAAAGCTCTTCAACTTCAGAAGCAAATCTCTGAGGAAGTATAAAAATAAGAAAATTTAGCAATGTATTATTTTTAGAATTAGGGAATTGAAGTTACCGATATTGTTTCCAGAGAGCGACAGTACTCTCACGGACTTTGGTCCTTTGAGCGACGTGGTCGGTACAGTGGTCAAATTGTTGCCGTCTAAATAAAGTTGTTCGAGTCCATCGCATCCCTTTAAAATCCCTTCCTCTATGCTCCTGAGACCGTTTCTGCTAAGATCGAGCAGCTTCAGCTCCTCCATTCCGTGGAACTCGTTGCTCGAGAATATCGGATTAAGATTGTCGCCCAATAAATTATCGGCCAGCTTCAGTTCGACCAGCCGGGTCTGGGCACGAAGCGCACGGCCCATCAGCTTGTGAATCGAATTGCCTGACAGATCGAGCTTCCTCAAGTTCAACACGGAGTCGAGCAAGTCCTCCGGTAGATTTTGGTATCCGCTGTTTCTTTGGCTGAAGGAAACGATCGGCTGATCCCGTAGCCTGTCGACGATGTCTCGCGTAAAGATTGCCCGGTCGCAGTTCATCTCGATCGAACGGCTGTACTCCGTAGAAACGATGCATTTGCAGGGAACCTGCAAATCTCGTTTCAGCTCCACGCATGGTATCCATTCCGCTTGTTTCGATGGAGAAACGATGGATAATAGTAAAATCAACGGCAAATACCACCTGAAAGAAATGATATTGTCTTTATAATGATCGACTTGGGTTTACGTTGATTATTCTTCACATTCCACGCTCTACTCTTTGCTCGCGCACTTGCCACCATCCCAGGCTCATTCGCCAACTTTCTCGCGAGCGTGTTCCTCTTTTTCGTTTAACTCGCTTCTAACTATCCTACCGCGTTTCAAGCGAACCGGTAGCTTTAATACCGGGCCCAGAAAACGTTTATCTGAACGAACCACGTGAACAGGATGAAGTAAAAGAATCAAGATTATTGATGCGAAAGAAAGAGCGCGGTAAAAGGCGAGGCGACGAGAGAGACGAAAACGAATGGCCTGGTTCGGTCAAACTCGTACCAAAGTATCTCGAACCCACGGCTATCTACTGTGGACTTCTACGTATAACGGTGATTTTATCCGCTACGCGGACTACGAACTCGGATCGTTTCGTCGCTAAGCTGGTTCTGTGCGAATTTTCTTTCCTTCTTGTTTTTAATTCCAGGCGAGACCGTGACACACGATTCATGCTGATGGAACGCGACACGTACGTAAGATTCGAATGGGAATCGACGCGAATAGTTGCTCTCTCCTATCGTGATTAATTAGCCGCGAAGCCGCGGAAAACAGGTTTAAAGATGGAAGGCCATGACTCGAGAAGAAAGCGTGCTCGCGCATTCTTGAAAGAATTTGTATCTTAGATTAGTTGTAAACGCCCTTTATTTCTTATTCGTTACTTTTGTGAACACTCTCTCGCTTTCGTTTACGCATCTCGTAAATAAACTCGATTTATACGTCGTTTTGTTTCGTTCTATTTTATTCTGTTCCGTTCCGTTCCGTCCGCCCGAACGGAAGGTTCCATTAGAAAGTGTCTAGTCTATGTAATCCCGTTCGATCGGATTAGACGCAGCATCGAACTCGAACGCGATCGATAGTCCAGATGGATATAGAGTCATATTTTGATCAACGATACAATGACTTACCCTCTTTTCATAGTAGCTTTTCCACGCGTAATTCCGCCTGACTAGAAGTACCAGTGATCAAATCGTTATCTCTTCATCGTTGCGATCTTCCTCCTATTTCCTCGTACGAATCAAACGCGTCAAAGAACCTGATCATTTGCCATCATCCGTAGGTGGTCCCGATGTACAAGACAGCGCATCCACGCGACTCTTTCCTTCTCCTTGTTTTCCTAACTTCACCTGTATTTCTCTTCTTGTTCACTTTTTCGTCAATTACTCGTCTAATCCTTTAATCGCTTTGGTCATTCCATTTCATTTCTTTCTTCACGTCAAGATCAATCAACAGTTCTTCACAAAATTTGACCGACCGTAAGAACGAACGAACGAAAGTTTCTCACAGAGATCGAAATTAAGCAAGTATCCGGGCAACGAGAATGTGACCGCAGAAAAAATCCTAATATAAAAGACCGAAGGAGGAAATGCTGGGAGTGTAACGCGCGCTCTACCCTTCTCCACTGATTTCGCGACTCTCGTAACGGGGCCCGCGCGCGACTTTACTTACACTCGAGAAACCTCGACTTACGAGGCGTGATTTGCTGGTAGGGGAAACGGTAAACAGCCAGATGGAGGGTACACCGATATTCCTCTACGCGTTTACGTACCTGCGTGCGTACGTGTATGCACAGAAACACGCGCACTCTGGGAAAAGAGCACGAGATGGGATCCGATGGACGTAGGAATGTTTCTCGAGCAACCTTTCACTGCCACCGTCGCGTCGTGTCGTCTGTTCGCGGTATCGCCAACTGCCCTGCCTAAACCGTTACCGTCCTGCCATTCCATATTTACCGTCTATGTTCTTCTCTCATTCGGCTTCCTTGCTGTCCTTCTTATCTCCCGTATACCATCGCAATCATACCACGTTGCAGTTCGTACTTGAACCTTTGTGCATTTTCCACTACTTTTACTTTGCATTTTTGCCTTTCGACGCGTAACCATGATTCGCTTGATCATACCGATGTATTACTGCACATGTCGTGTGTAACATTGCTACATGACACGCACGATGGTACCACTTCACCTAAGCAAATTTTTAGTCGAGTTCGGGAACGCGTCCTGATGATATGATGTTCGCGCCTTACTTCGTACTTTTCGTGTCATGCGTAACCGCTTACATTGTATGATATATTATATGAGAAACGAAACTACGCATATCGTGCGTTCCGTGCTAAATGTGAAAACGGGAAATAGAAAAACTCCAACAAGGATTATGAGAATGAATTTTCATTGCTAAAGTGCAACCTCCATACCGGATGCTTTTCGCATCTTGAATAATGATCTCTCGTTGTTACCGGTGTCGACATCCTCGTCTTTCTGTTTCTTCTTTTTCGATCTTACAGCAATTTCCATTAATGCTTTCGAATTTATATTAACATTAAGAAAATGGCACAATATCACGAATGACCGTAATGGTTACCAACGCGAACACGATTTTCACCTTTTAATGCGATGTATAATATGCGGAAATATATGAGTTCAATGAATTACTGCTTTTTATTTCGCATAAAATTGAATTGTATTTTTGTACATTTGTTTCTGTAGAGTTTGTAATGGATACAAGTATACTCTGTGGTATAGGCATGCGCAGTAAGCTATCCGTAGAAGTCCTCAGTAGCGTATACACTTTGATGAAATATAAGGTATCATTGGGCCCTAGTAAGGAAAAAAAATAAATCTGAAGAAAATTGCAGGAAAGAGAATAAAAGGGTTAAAAGTTATTGTGCTTTTGTGTTATTTCAAATATAATAATCTCCTATATTCCATCATATTATTCCCATTATATTATATTGTATAATTCACGATATATACATATATGTATATTAATAAATAATCATTTTGCAACATATCTGCAAGATTAAGTTAAAAAAAATTAATAAATTTAAATAATTACAACAATAAATTTGTTAATAAACTACCAAAAAATATAAAATTATAAAAAATATGATGTTAGAATAATTATACAGCAACCAATGAGAGTGGCTGCACGCTATTGGTGGATTACATGATGTCTGATTGGCTACTGTACACTAGCAATCACTCTTGCACTTCGATTTGATCTATTGGTCGATTACGTGATGTCTAATTGGCTACTGTAAACTACCAATCGCACTTGCACTTGAAGAGGTCGCCGCTGCTCAGTTTTGTTTTGGGAGTCGAGGAGGTCGGATCAGCCATGTCAACACTTACCGGTACGAGTCAAGGGTTTACTTTACCGATATTGTGCTTGTCCCTGTATTACCTACTGTGCTTTAATAAGTGTTTAGTGTGTTTTAATAAATATTTTTTAATAAATATGCGGGTGTACTAACAAATTTTATGGTGTGATTCAACAAGTGTCAGTGACTTAACCAGTGTGTTACCTGCATGCATATACGGATGTATTAGTGTACCTAGTGTGTTATTACTAGTGTTTAATGTGCTTTAATAATTATTTTTTATTAGTTATGGGGGTGTATTAATAAAATTTATGGTGTGATTCTGCAAGTGTCAGTGACTTTACTAGTGTGTTTCCTTAAGTGATTGTGCATGTGTATACGGATTTATTACTGTGTTTTATGGTGCGGTTATTTGAATGTTTTATTAATTTTTTACTGTTTTAATGTATTTTGTGGAGTGATTATTTAAGTGCTTTTACAAACTGTTATTGGGTGTTGGTGTACTTTATGCAATGATTATTTAAGTGTTTTGGCATAGTGTTACTGGTGATGATGTTAGAATAATTATACAGCAACCAATGAGAGTGGCTGCACGCTATTGGTGGATTACATGATGTCTGATTGGCTACTGTACACTAGCAATCACTCTTGCACTTCGATTTGATCTATTGGTCGATTACGTGATGTCTAATTGGCTACTGTAAACTACCAATCGCACTTGCACTTGAAGAGGTCGCCGCTGCTCAGTTTTGTTTTGGGAGTCGAGGAGGTCGGATCAGCCATGTCAACACTTACCGGTACGAGTCAAGGGTTTACTTTACCGATATTGTGCTTGTCCCTGTATTACCTACTGTGCTTTAATAAGTGTTTAGTGTGTTTTAATAAATATTTTTTAATAAATATGC